AAAGTGCTGCAGTCCCTCATCTCACACAGTTCTTGGTAGAGTGGCCACATGAGTTTTCAGGTGTGTTTAGACACATGGCAGAAGCCTACATGTGGATCCAGTGTGGGATGGAAAACAAAGATGACCATAAACATGAGGTGACTTATTCAACTGATGCTGTAGTTCACTTATTACCAATATGTTCTAACATCATACATACTAATGTTGGAGTGACACTGAGATGCTTAGCATAACCTCTGCCCAAAATAACACTCAAAGAAAACTTTGAGAAGTGTTTCATAATTAGTGGATGGAAGTACTAACTGCCCTGATTTACTCATTATGTATTGTATACTTGCATCAAATTATCACATGGTACCTTAAAAATAAGAATGATTAAATATGTAAACCTTTTAATTTGCATTTTAAGAATCTTTTGAATTTAGTTAAGAATCTACCCTAGTCTATACGAGGAGCTAGACCCTGTGGAGAAAAACAAGGTAAGCAAGGTTCAGTTTCTATCTTGGTAAGAAGAATTTAGAGGGAAGAGAAGACACTTGGGTAACACCGTACAAGGTTAAGTACAAAGTGTGTTGAAGGAAAGGATGAAAAATATTGCAGAGCATCTTTAAGGAGAGACAGTTCCCTCTCCCCAACCCCAACCCCTGACATGGAGACTGGGTAGCTGTTTTATCCTTTGATAAAATGGCAACACCACTCCTGGAGCAGGCCACACTTAGAGACAGCTGGCTGGATAAAGTGGTCAGAAGAGGAATGGGAGATAAACGATGGTTTCTAGTCAGGGAAGACCACTTAGAGGAATGTAATAGTCTTCCAAGTCTGACCATGGCTTTTCAGACCAAAATGGTGGACGTGGGGAGCAAGAGGAAGTGAGAAGGCACAAGCCAACACAACAGTTCACTGGTGAAGAGTGCCAACACGGTGGGCATCTAGAAAATGAAGGAAGCCTGGAATAGCCATTCCCAGTCACGGAGGCTGGCACAAGGCCACAGGAGGCTTGTGATATCACCTCACAGGCCCTTTCTCCCTAGTGAGGCTGGAACTACAGTCATAAATCTTGCCCTGAGTACCACTGGAGCTGGGAGGACAGCTGCGTGTCTATTTTAGGTACACATAGGAGAAGCAGAGCAGGCTTAATCTCCACAGGAGGAAGGAGTCACAGTGGCACCACACTGGGCACCGCTCTCACAAAGGCATCCTGGAATAACTCTCCCATCGCTTGCAAGGGTTTGAAGGGTGATATTCAGGGGAGCTATTCGTGTCCTACAGACATGCTATTGTATCCTCCCCTGGAAGAACCCTCAAACCCATAGGTCTGGCTTGTAAATGCAGGAAATTAAGTGGAATTTATTTGGGTTCATCTTAGCTTGAGAATTGGGAGATGCTGCTTACGGGAGCTGTCTGGCTACAAGCAGACAGCCTATCACCCAGCTGTGTCTCTATTACTGGTGACTGACATCTCCTAGCATGTCAAATCCCACAGACTTTTTTGGCCATTTTTTCTGTTTTTTATAATCTTTTTTTAAAATTAAAATTAGAAACAAGCTTGCTTCACTTGTTAATCCCAGCTGCCTCTCTCTCACCAGCCCCCAGCCCCTCACCCAATCCCCACTCTGCTCCCCAGGGAGGGTGAGGCCCTTCATGGGGGATCTCCAGAGTCTGTCATTTCATCCAGGGCGGGGCCTAAGTCCTCCGCCATGTGTCCAGATTGAGAGAGCATCCCTCAAGGTGGGATGGACACCCAAAGTCCATTTGTGTGCCAGGGATAAATACTGATCTACTACCCAAGGCCCCATAGATTGCCTAGGCCTCCTCACTGACACCCTCATTCAAGGTGTCTGGATCATTCCCATGCTGGCCTCTCAGCCACCAGTCTGCAGTCCAAGAGCTCCCCCTTGTTCAGGTCAGCTGTCTCAATGGGTTTTACCAGCCCGGTCTTTACCCCTTTGCTCATCACTCCTCCCTCCCTGCCACTGGGTTCCAGGAGTTCAGTTCCGTGCTTAGCTGTTTCCATCAGCCACTAAATGAAGGCTCTAGGATGGCATATAAGGTGTCGCCAAACTCATTCTCAGGGAGGGGCATTTAAGGTAGCCTCTCCACTATTGCTTAGTTTGCCAGTTGGTGTCATCCTTGTAGATATCTGGAAATCTACAACAAATCTATAAAGTAAGACTTGGCGTTTACACTTTGAGAAATGCCAGAGTCAAGAAAAGTGAAGCAGCTCACCAAAGAGTCAGCCAGAGCCGCTAGGGGTCGTCTTCTGATTTCAGCGCCTTCATTCCTTATCTTCTAGTTGCAAAGTGCAGATGTGAGGGGGTTGAGATTAGAAAACAAAGTAGTTTTGGGAAAGAATTCAAAAGCAGGGAGAATAGCTATTTAGCCTTTGAGAGAAAATGGCCATTCAATTGAAGAGAAAGATTCCCTATCATTAAGCAAATTGTTCCATGGATATGAACCATTTAGATGGTAAAAGAAATTTAAGCAAACTTTAACTACTTGTGATTGTCTTACATATGGTGGTTTTAGAAATATAACACTGGAAATAGACTGCAAGATACTCCAAGGGTGCTTTAAAAGCTGAGGCTCGTGTATCGGGCAGGGCTTAAATCCTGGCACTTTCATTTAAATCCCCAGCAGGTTACTCAACTTCTTTCAGCTTCATTTTTTCCCCTGTAAATTTAGACCCAGTAATAGCATCTGCCTCAAAGAACAAAAGAGGCTCAAATGAGATAAGGCGTGCTAAGTAAGAGCTGAGCGCTGTGCTAGGCACCTAATCAACACCATGTCCATGACAGCTACGTTGGAAAGGGTGATGAAGAGGCCACTCCTCTGTGGATGTTTGCTTTTAAGTTTGGCATTTTTCTCAGGAAGGGGTACCACCTGGTGCAAAGTTTCTAAGGCTGATGAGACATGTAGAAATGGTGGGTATGGTGCTTTAAAAAATACCCCTGGGATCCTGGGCAACTTCCTATTTTTAGAAGCATTCTGCCCCTGTTAGTTAACCACTGGTGTTGTGGCCCCTTGATCAGATCTGTACCTGAACTTGACTTTTTGCAGGAAAGGAAAGCAATTCAGATGGCAACAGCAGTTGTCCCTAAGAAAGGGATATCTATGCTCTAGCTACCTATGATCACCTTTACATATGGTGGTTTTGTTGCTTTGTCTTCCCAATCTTGGCTTTAATAACAAAGACAATAGAAACTATCAAGACCAGAAAACTATAGGGTCTCATGCCTTGATACCCAAGGCTAACTGACAAGGACAAGGATTTGTCTTTGAAACATCCTTCAAACAGCATGATGCTCATGGTAAAGAAGAGATTGCCTGAAGAGACTCATATGTACAAGGGAACAGTGAACACTACATTGACTTTCACATAGTATACGAAAAAACAAACAAGTATATATTGTAAGGACAGAATACTAGGGACACCCTTATGATTAGGACAAGAGGATAAAGCTCATGTGTTAGTGACCAAAAGACCCGTTGAGACTACAGATCTCAGCAGCAAAGGCAGCACACAGTGACAAAATTAAACATGCCCAAGACCTGAACATTCCAGTGGTCACAGATGTCTAAGGACAAGCTCTTTCCCACCAGCATTTCTCACTGCCACCCACAGCTTCTACGATACACTCCTAGAAGAGGGACACAATAGAAAAAAGGCATTGTGGGCTGAAGAATCGCTAATCTGATTTTGAGTCCTGATGAAAAAAAATGTGTCATCTGACACAATGGACATTTAAGGCCAAAATAAAGTAAAGCTATAGGAAAATAAAGGGGTTACCTTTACCCCTGGTTTTGACTCTGAGGTTTTTCACCTACTACATGAGGGTCCCTTGGTAGAGTTGTGTTGATTCCTACTTTGCAATAAAGTTCCCCATTAGTGTGTAAATATCCAAAATGAAATGCACACTGTTCTAGCCCCTTTAAAAAGGTGGTACGTAGGAAGCAGTATTGTCTTGGAATGGAGCATACTACATAGATAGGCCCAGTGTGTATAAGTTTTATAAAAAGCTCTGTGAAGTCTTACAGTAAAGAAACCTATTTCACTTTGTTTAAACCAGAACTTCTCAATTTATTTGATGAGGCCATTTTTTTTTTGGCTGATATGTAATGTATTTCAAGTCAGGAAACGCTGGTTTAGAGAACTGTAGGTGAGAATGGATGATGATGGCATAACTGTGGTGACCCAAGAGAAAAATAATCAGGTGAAACATGAGCCTGAGATTGATGCCAGGATGCAGAAAATATCATGGCTGGGCATGGAAATGCTACTTGCCAAATGACCCCATATATCTTAGAAATTGGCTGAATTTCTTCTAATATTCTCTCAAGGTCCTCGCTGAGTCACTCCCATAAATGATGGATCTTAATGGTTCCGAATATCTCTAAAGCCTTTATGTGAAACCATCTCCCTTTTTAACTTGGTGATTCACTTCACTCTAGGATGCAGAGGCAGCCAGAATAGGCCAAGTTCCATTCTCCAATCATAAAACCACATAACAAGAGCAGCACACAACCATGATGAACTATTAGAAGGCTCAGAACTCATCTAAGAAGTTTAACTGGCTGATTCTTCTGAGACCCTGTCACTTTGAGCTCTCTCATGAGGACTATGCTCATATATCACCGCAGGTAAAACAGACTCATCTGAAAGCACCAGACCAAAATCAACAACAAGAGAGAACATGAGGTTTCCAGTCTGAATGATATGGGTTTAAACCTCACCTCTGCCATTCAGTGGCATCGTAACCTTAGATCAAGCTCTCTCTGCATTTTAGTTTGAGAGTTAAATGCTCACTTGGGATCATTATAAAGATAAGAGGAAATGAGAAATGTGGGAGCAGATGCAGACTAATATGGGAGGCAGACACTGTACATCTACAAGGAAGAAAGCACCAACAGATTGGACTGGAAACGTGAAGATATAAGGGCAACCATCTTTATTTTGTCACCCATCACACAGCGCCCAGGAGCATTATGAACATGCCCTGTACCTGATTGTCCTGGTATGCTTTCGAGTGTAAGGAGAAATGACCTTGAAGAGCAGTTCCATAGCTCCATTAATTCCCAGCATGGCTCCTGTGGTTACTGAAGACAAAAAGCACAGTAGTCAGGAGCTATTGTCACAAGATGTGTTAATACAATTTGGATTTAATCACTGATTACTTCAAGGGGGTTAACATAAATCAATGAAAAACAAAACATTATAACCCTCTTTCAGCAATCTAGTAAGAGGGGTAGCTCTTTCTTTCTACCTCAGTTTCAAGTTCTTCTCAGTTTTAATACTTGAATCCCCCAAGACTGAGGCAATGAGTTGACTACTGACCTCTATTAGAATACCAATAGAAGAATGAGTCCTTGTGCTCCAAGATAAGTAGCCTGGGAATGTTTCCCTTTTCATCCAATAGAGATCATGAGCAGTGAGCAGCAGGGGGAGGGGGGTGTCGGTCATGGTGCCTCTGTTCATTGCATTTCAAGGTGAAAGGCTAAAAACTTCCAAATGGTCCATACCCCTTCTCAGCTCAGCTGAATTTGAGAAGAGCACAAAAGAGGAAGCCAGGATATGCAGAAATGTGTTAGGGACAAGGAAATAGGAAGAAAAATGATTCTCTGATAAAGTGACTCCTCTCTTTCTTCCATCGGAACGGTGCTTTGGAAAGGGTAGATCTAGGACTGCCTAGAACTTTGGACCTGGTTTATTCTGGGAAAATAAGTAGAAATGAGGCATCTCAAAGATGCAAAAAGAGGAACAAGTGTGTCTTTGATTGACTTATTACAGGCCCCAGGAGAGGAACACGGTAGTGGAGGTGGTAATACCACAGTACTGTCTATCCAGACAGACTGCAACCAATGCCTTGGCTGTTACAAGGAGTTATAAAGCTATAAGAAGCACATGTTCCTCTGTCTGTACTCCTACTCAGAAGAGCACAGACCATCACCACCCAAATTAACTGGATGAGCGTAGCACCCTGGTGGTGGCCATCAGTCTTCCCACTCTTATAGTTACTAATTTAGTCCTTACTTCTAAAGTGGAAAATAATACTAGACTAACAATTCTGGCAGATGGTTCAATAACAATTTAGGAATTAAGTGGATTTAGCAAAAGCACATGTTTAATACCTCTGATTCTCACATGGAAGACTAGAGGATATGAGAAGAGGATAAGAGAAGAAACCTCATTGTGCTCACCCTTACTGGGTGGCCGCTCGACATGGCCATCTGGCTGCTGTTCACTGGCTACTGTAAACCCACTTTGGCTACAGCCAACGAATCAGAAGGAAGTAGCTGTTCACAAAGCTTGCCGAAGCAGTCAACAGTGGGTCACGACTCACCAAAGAAACAGAACACACAGGCTTCCTGAACTCTGTCAGCCTTTCACCAAGAAACGCAATGCACAGAGGCACCATGACCTTATGAGACAGCTAGCTCGGTATAACAAATGTAGGCTAGCATATGACCCAACTGGTATGTTCTCACACCCACAGACAGATGTAAGACTTCCTCAGAGCTAAGACGATGCTATATTGCTAGAATCACCATTGCATGCATGTTCTAAAGAAAGCAAATCACTCGGCATTCCGGAAACCAAAAGGTACACTAAGTCTTGTGCTGTTAGCAAGTGCCAAATTGGCTGGCATGCTTTTAGGATACTCATTAATAGCAATTGTCTTGCATAAAGGGCCCCCATTCCCCTTTTATTGTTTAGGAGATGGACAGGTTTGTACAGATTCATTCAGATTTCATTCAGATATTACCAAATGCTGCACTCTGGTAGTCTTTGTTTGCTCTCTCTCTCTCTCTCTCTCTCTCTCTCTCTCTCTCTCTCTCTCTCTCTCTCTCTCTCTCTCTCTCTCCCCATCTCTCTCCCAGTGTGTGTGTGTGTGTGTGTGAGAGAGAGAGAGAGAGAGAGAGAGAAGATAATGAATGTGTGAACAAAAAGCCAAAACTCCATCTCAATATTCTAAAGGAAAACATGTATCCCCCCTGTTTAATAAGAAGTTACAACAGTGAAAATTGAGATACTGAGCCAGGCATAGCGGCACATGACTACAATCCCAGCATTTGGGAGACGGAGGCAGGAAGATATGGAATTCGAGGTTATCTTTGACTACCTGGTGAGTCTGAGGGCAATAAAAATGAGTAAAATATTGGGATACTTCAGCAATTCTTGGGCTATCTGGAGAAACTACATAGTTACTCCACCTATGTGTGCTCTTCGCACAATTTCAAAAGATTAGAGAAAAGAGTGGGGTCGGGAAAGGGCAGTCTCTGTGTCATGGTCTTACGTATGCACATATCTTGTTATCCCATCTGACAAGTCTATGAGACTTGCTGTTGGTTGAATGCATTCCCCGAAATCCATTTTCAAGCCCTAATCCCTATGATCTAAAGAAGTAATTAAGGTAAAGGAAGTGGATGGGGGGGTGAGGTGTGGAGAAGGTGGGGGAAACCAGAGGAGGGAAGGGGGGAAACTGGGATTGGTATGCAAAATTTTTTTTAAATCTTAAAAGGAATAAAAAGAATTATAGCAAAAAAGGGAGGCTACTGAAGGAGGGATATAATTTAACTTGTCTTGTGTTAGTCAGAAAGAAAATATAAGCATAGAAAGAGACTAAGAATGTACAAGGCCATGGGAAAAGCCATGTGGAGACACAGCCAGATGACAGAATCTTCTTAAGACCAAAGAGACTGGCTGGAGAAGAAGCAAACCTTGCCAACATCTTGATCTCAGACCTCCAGCCGTTAGCACTAGGAGAAAATTAATTCCTGTTGTTTTAGTGAGACAAAACCTAGCAGATTAACAGTAATAATTATTGCTGCTATAATTTTACAAAGTAAAAAAAAATAATAAGGGTAAGCAGGTCAAGTACCCATGTTCCATGACTCATAAGAAATAGTATCAGAGTCAAATTCAGGGCTCCCTGGCTCTAAGCCCACATTCTTTCCCCTACAGAGTATATTACATCTAAATAATTGTCACTTTTATTCCCCAGGAAGGGAGCTCAGAAAGGAGAAATGAAAGTCTACGCTCATTACATGTGAGATAGGAGGTATAGAATCTAATCTATTAATGAAAAGTGCCTCCACATGGAGTAGAATTAACATGATTTTTAGAATTTTAAAGCCAGCCTTCAGGGCTTTTTATCTGTATAAATTTAAGTAATTATTCCACTCTTTTAAGCTGCTGACTTTTCCTTTGCTGGAATATAGAAATGTAGATCTAAACACACAATTATTGTGATAATTAAAAATAGTTAAGTAGATGCTTAATAACTATCAGCTAACATGTTCTATTGCAATCACCCAGAGAAAGGATTTGTTGGGAAGGATCATGAGGTTAGAAAAAAAATCAGTTAGGATTTTGTTTTGTCAGTGAGTAGCTTTGTGGAACTAATAAGGACTATTCTTTGTTTTAGCGTGTGTGTGTGTGTGTGTGTGTGTGTGTGTGTGTGTGTGTGTGTATGTGTGCTTTATGCACAAATGTGTGGGTCCACATGTACTTGTTTGAGGAAGCCAGGTGGTCATCCACAGGAATGCTGTCTACTTTGAGACAGGCTCTCTCATTGGCTTAGACATCATCAATTAGGCTATACCAGCTGGCCAGAAAGTTCCAGGCATCCTCTTGTCTCTACCTCCCAAGCATTGGGATTACAAATGTACATCACCATGCTAGCATTGTTATGTGGGTTCTCAAGCCCTCATGCTCACACCTCAAGTGCTTTACTGCCTGAGTTTTCTCCCCAGCCATTACAATGTTGTTTTCTTTTTTTTAACAGATATAACACATAATGTTATGAATATGTCAAGATCTGAAGACAGTCTGCCTTTCTCCTGCCACAGGACTTCTTTACCTGGTAGTACTGACAGAGAAACTTGCAATTCTGCAACACAAATCAGAAAGAAAGCCAAAGCCAATACCTAGGAATTAGATCAAGAGCTCTACCTGACCGAGGCAACAAATAACCAACTTCTAACCTCCACAGCCTCTCGATTGGCAGGTTCCTTTCTGTGTCTGCGTGGGACCACATGCATGCTCCATGCACACCCTCATTCCCCCACACCACCACACAGTTTCCAGGTGCCCCAGTCCAGGTCTCAACTTACCACTGGAGGCAAACACACGCAGTGCCCAAAGACAGTGCAGGAGGTTCTGGCTATGAAACAGGTTTTTCCTGGCCAGAATCAAGGTCACGTCAAGTGCTTCTAATTCCAGGGCCTTCTGTCCAAACTTCTTATCTAGGAACACAAATACATTTCTCTTAATTATGTCTCAAATTCATTATAAAGGTTTTGGGAGAGGTGGAAAATGATGGGGGAGGGGAGAGGGCAATTACAGCCAAAGACACTTTTGAACATCATTAAAAATATTCTAAATATGCCCCCATACTTAGATTGAAGTCTGGATACACTTATTGATGTGAAGGCTATGGGTTCTAAGAATATAAGCCTTGACTCTAAAGACACTCCTGTCATCCTCATATATATATCCATGTCTTTAAGACAAATCTGAGGCAAAGAAAAACAGCACAGCATTCTAATGCAGTAATTTTATGGTTTGTTTATTTTTGAGACAGGATCTCCTGTAGCCCAGTCTGGCCTTGAGCTGACTATGAACTTCTGATCCTCCTGCCTTTATCTCCAGGTATTAGGATTCCAGGTGTCTATCACCATGCCCATGTGGGACGATGCCTCAGTGAGTCAGAGTTCTTCCTGTGTAAACATGAGGAACTTAGTTCAGATTCTCTGCAGCACTGGAAACAGCTGTGTGTGACTGTACATTGTAACCTCAGCACTGTAGGGAGCAACAGTAAGAGGACCCTAGCAGCTCACTGGCAAACAATTCCAATAGTGAGCTTTGGGTTCAATGACAGACTCTGTCTCAAAATAAATAAATTAATTAATTAAATAAGTGGTGAGAAATTGAGTAACAGACCTAATATCACCTTCTGGGTTTCTACGGGTACATGTGTAAATGTACATTTATGTGAATACATGGACACATACATATAACACACACACACACACACAAGACAGACATACTAAAGAACAGTAACTTGGTAATCACTGCCTTTGTGTATCTCTTAGCACTTGTCTGTTAGTCCCTGGCCCCATATGTTAAGGATGTAATCTAACACTTCATTTATTCTTCCTAGAAACTCTAGAATTAAATTCTATGCTTCCATTATTAAGTAACTTGACCAGGGTCTAAAAGCTAGTGAGCATCAGGGACAGACTTAAAACCAGCCTGCAATGTGTGACAGGGGGATATATCAGGTCTCTACTGTCTTCTTAGCATTCACTTGGCCTACTCAGTTTTGCTGACTTGCCCTCTTTCTTCAGGTTTCAGCTCAAATGTCTCTCTCCCTGACCATGCCATCCTAGGGTAGCATCAGTCTTTCTTTTCCTTGAAGCACTCAGCACAGTCTGCTACCATCCAGTTAATTATTTGCTGACCAGCTGGCCTGCCCTATTTGGAACGGAAGCTCTGCGTGAGCAGACTCCTTTACTGTCTTGGTCAGAGATGTTTGCAGTGTGTAGAATAGAGCATGAGCAATCACCAAATGAATGTCCTTAGTTATATTGGGATATATTCATGCATGTACTAGCTAATACCTATTTCTCAGTTCTTCTGTAGAATGCCGATGAACTTGAAGTAGAAGGCTGAACATTGAAACCTTTGGCTTCAGCTGCTGGCAGTGAACATCAAAAGGTCCTGAGCTTCTCAGTTGTGACAGTCATGATATTCAACGTGCAGTTTAAGCATAACTGTTAAAGCGTTTTGCAAACTGTGCATGAACTCTAAATGCTAAGATTATTCAACCCTGCTCCAGGAAGTTCCAGCAACCTAAGAAGGTGTTTCAAGATCCTCCAGAAGGAAAGAGAAATATCCAGAGGCTGTATTGCTATGTGTTATCATAGTAGGTTGAACTAACAGTGTTCCTCCACCCTCCCCACACGCCCCCCACACAAATCGATTTCTACCCAGACATTCAAGATGCCATCTTATTTGAAAAGAGAGTTTCATACATTGAATTGGCTAAGAAGGGATCAGACAGGACAGACTGGAACATAAACATAATGGCTGACACTGGATGAAGAGGGGAGGACACACAAAGTGAAAATACAGAGAGCACACCATGAACACAAAGATAGAGAAAGGAGTGATGTATCTATAAATCAAAACAAAGAGAGAAAGGAGGGAAGGGATGGAGAAATAAAGGAATGGAGGGAGGAAGAAAGGAAGGAAGAGAGGGAGGAAAAAAGAAAGGAGTAAGGGAGAGAGGGAGCTAGGCAGGCAGGCAGGCAGGCAGGAAGGAAGGAAGGAAGGAAAGAAGGAAGGAAGGAACGAAGGAAGGAAGGAAGGAAGGACAATGCTTCTAGTAGTTCTAGGAGGGAAGCAGGAGAGAAGTTCTAGGAGAGAAGCAGGACCCAACCCTGTCAGTACTTGGTTTAGGACGTATGTACTCCAGAAGTATCAGAGACTATATTTATGATGCATAGTGATAAACTGACTATAGCAATTAGATATGATAGCTCTAAAATTTGAATACACAAGTATGGTCAGACTTGGTGATGCATTATCTATAATCCCAGGAATCAGAAGTTCAAGACCACCCTTTGCTACATAGTGAGTTCCAGGCCAACTTGGCTACATGAGACTCTGCTCCCAAATTATTTCCTAAAACTGTTTCACTTTGTGTAAGGATTTAAAATGCACTGGAATCACTCTGATCATCTCCGACTTATGATCCATGCTTTTGCAGTCCATGTCAGCCATGACTACAACTTCTGTATGTTATCCATTCATTTATAAGCACCACATCTTTTATTTCCTGGCATCTACATATTTTTTAATTTACCTTGCCATGTAGTGTGGTGTATACCTCTAATCCCAATATGCAGTAAGCTAAAGGCAGAAGGACTGTAGTAAGACTGAGCCTACCTTGAGCAACATAGTCTGAAGTCAGACTCTGGGCTTCAAAAATAACAATAACCAAAAGTAAAATTACCTCCTCTTTAAGGCTGGCCCTGCTATCACCAAGGCACTTGAGACCTCCCTTCTGCCTCCCCACCAGGGCTTTCCCAACTGCTCTCAGGGAATAACTCCAGAAGTATGTTGTCAGGCATCATTAGTACCTCTTAGGCCAACTTTGGCCATCAGCCTGAAGAGAGGCAGGAGGATGTCATAGTCAGGAGAAGCTGACCTTGCTGTGTCCACCAGAGTCTGTAAAAGGGCTTCACTGCCACCTTTGTCAATCATATAGTAAATCCTCCGATCTGTGCCTGGGAAAAAACCAGAGGAAAGATAAACCACAAAGGGTCACCCTCTTCCCTGGAGCAGACCGCAGCCCTAAAGGTCAGAGACAATGCAAAGGTTCATTCAGTTCACAACAGAAACACAGACTGGCCGATTCTTGACATGACTCATCTTCGAGTTGTGCTATGATCTGAAGGGAGAAAGGTGTGACATATGGCAACTGTGGAATATTTAGAGATTTTAATATATTCACCTTCACAGATATGGCAAATTGAGTAATATTGCAAGTTCTGGGGACCTGTTAATTCTTCACAGGTGTGTATACATGCATGTAGGAGTATATAAATAGACATGCAGAGCATCAGATATACTATATATGAGGGATGCCATCATATACTAAATATTCACGAAAACTTGAATTTAGTAACAGGAAAGGAGTAGTGTCTTCTCTAGAATTATTTTATTGAAGGTGTAATGATTTTCTAATTCTGCTGTAGCAACTAGTAGAAAAGAAATACAGGAATCACTGTAGGAAACCCCTACGAAACAAAATGCCCAGGCATTCCATCTGAGGACTCTTGATCAGAGTCTTGAGCAATGGGAAGTATTTGTCTTTCTACCAATGAATATATTTGAATAAGACCTCTCTCACTTTACCCAAGGATACCTCAAAAGTAGCGATTACACATTATCAGGGCAAAGGCCCTGTGTGGTCCAAGCAGGTAGCCAACGAGGTGTAATTATTTCCAAAATGAAATTCTGATTTTCCCATCCTAATGAAAAAGGAATTGTCTACTAAGACAGGGGAAGAAAACAAAGGGGGAAAAGAAGAAGGGAGGAGAGGGATAACCACACGTATTCAGCAGTGCACATTTGTAATCTCAGCACATAGAAGGCTTATGCACAGGGACTGCTACTTCCAGGGCTATAAAAGGTGACACTGGCTTAAGAAAAAAATTATCTCTATCGGAGGAGAAATTCCAAGGCAACATTCTAAACATTTTCATACTCCTCCTAAAGATAGTTTTATCTCAGAAGACGAGTGCTGCCCTGCATAAAGGAATCATTCATAAAGCAAACAAACAAACAAATAAATAAATAAAAGACTACAGGGAAGTGGTCCTGCCACCAGAGAACATATAAATTGGTTAAAAAATTTTAAAAAGGCCACAGTGTGATGGGACCCTTGAGGCTTTAATCTCTAGCATGCCATTCATCCATAATGTTGCTTGTTTGTGCTAGTATTTCTTGATCCAGTTAACCCAAATGATGCGTAGGTACTCAATCTTGTCATCTAATTTCTGAAAATGTAAACGGCTTCCCAACCTATGACATTCTCCTGCCTCACAGTCCTATCTCCACATGACATATGAAAGAAAGCTGTAATACCTAGTTCCTCCAGTGAGCCTAGGAAGGGAGCCTAGGGAGGTGTCAGATGTAGTTGTTGAGGAGTTCTTGCAGATGAAGAGAAAACATAGCACAGTCATCCAACATCGTACTGCCTCCTGTGTGTGGGCATTGTAGGCAGGTGACTAGGCTGAAGAGCCTCGGTATAATTATCCCAGTCTACACGTGTCTTATCACATCACATCAAGAGGAAAACATGGGCTGGTAGTTCTCTCTCATACAAGAAAGTCAAGTCACAAAAATACCCAGCTACACAGTTTCCTGGGACAGATCGCAGCCAGCACTGTCCCCAATCCACAATATGATTTGATGTGACCACAGACTACTCACCAACAGAAAGCAGATCGCTGAGGACCTGGAGGATGGCCAGGATTGATGCTTTATCAGAGGAGTTCTGCAATGACAACACAGACAGGTATCTTGACAATGAATGCAAGAGGATAGAAGTAGCCTGGTTAGAGATGCAAATAGGCATAGTTAAGCTTTGTTGCACTGAGAAAGACTCTGTAAAGTGAGAGAATGGGCAAAGGAACTCCCTTAAGTAGCAGCAAGTGCACTCACTGAGATAGGGGATTCAGAGACTGTGCCTGGTTAGAATTCAAGACCCCTTTCTTTTCATGGACCAGCTTGATAATAGCATTATTAAGGTACACACAAAAACAAGTATTGATGAATGTCCCAGAGACAACAAACTAAAGAATTTTGTGGGCCTCGGTCACAAGAACAACATATGTTTAAGTAGTCTTAGATTATTTTTAATGATGATCACAGTAAGAAACAGAAGCCACCTAAATGCTCTGTTGCAAATACTGCCTTGTCAAACAAAGATACACTTTGATTTTCCTGCTTATTTTTCAGAAGAGAAGATTTCATTCAGAAGATAGAGGAATATGCAGAATTCTCTGGGGTAACCTATATCATAGTTCCAGAAATACAACCCCCTACGGGTTCCCACTGTAAGATTAGGGCATGGTCATTCTGTCTTTGTTTATTTGGGTAGATGTGCCATTTACAACAAAATCTTAACATTCCCATGAGGAAATCTTGTGTCTTTGTTGGCTTCAAAAGCCTCAATAACTCTCTACTACAGATAGGACAAAGGCAAAAAAAAAAAAAACACAAAATCTTTCATCATCTGCTGCTATTGCCAACTTCATTATTAATTTCAACATTCCTGTCCAAAATAGATATTTCAAGTGGTATGGAAACTTGCAGATTCCTGCTCCAGCAATGTTATATCTTGATTTATAAATTCAACCACACTGTTGCCTCTTATGGCAGCTCTTCCCCTGCCTTTCAGCCTGGTCAATGCTAGATCCTCCTTCCAGTGCACGGTGAACCCTGGGATATCTCTGCCCTTCCCTCCCACAAGTCAGGTCTGGGATACTTTCTACCTCTCCATCACCTAGCTTTCAGTTCTTGACAGCACACTCACTGGATAACGCTGACACTGATGTGCCATCTGGCTTCCTACCCCACCTCTACTAGGTACCAGAATCTTTAGCAAACAGCACCTGGCAGAGGGGTTGCTCCAGAGAAAATATGAGATAAATGTTTCTAATGGAATCCAAAGGAACACCAGGGGATCCACAAAGTTCCCTACCATCTAAATACATTCCAGAAAGTCACACTTCTGACAAGGTTGGGTGCATTCAGGATGGTATGTCTGTAGACAAAAGTCACACTTCAAAACACCTAACAGGGCTATATACTCCAGCATAAAATTCCAGAGGACATTAAGAGACAATAAGGTAAATATCTTCATATTATACTTTTACAAATAAAAACCAATGAAAAGCAATCATGATGAACAGAAAACAAAATTGAGTTTACTACCTCCTTTTCCAGGTGACTCAGGCCTCTGGGACTACCCGCTGTCCCCCAGTACTTGATATATAGACCTAGCAGGAAAAACACTAGGTATACACTGGCATCTCTTCATGAAGCTTTTCCCTAAAAGAAGGGTTTCCATGGGTCCCTCATCATATTAATAGAAGGTATCACACCCCAAATTTCTAGTCCATGTCACCCTCTAGCCACTGCCAGTTATGGATACACACAATGCCAGTGCCTTCCTCTACTCAAAGCTGCAAACAAGAACCAATGCTCTTTTCTGATATGGCTCTATCATTTGGGAGTTTGCAGAACTCCACACCTTTTTCAAGTTGACTCAAAGATTATTTGCAGTTGAATAAAAAAGTGTTTATGGGATTCTTTCTCTGGGTCAATCTCAACCACATCCTTTTGTGAGTCTACAAATGCTTGATAACTTAAAATACGAAACTCATCACTTGATTACTAGGAATAAAGGAAAATAAAAGAGGAAATGAAGAGGTGAGAAAACAGAGAGAAAAACTAATAAGGGAGAATCTGATGGAAAGGGAATAAAGGTCCAGCTTTCATTTCCTTCTGTTCAATTATTTACGCATTCATCCCACAGACATCCATTGGATGTCATCTGTGTTCTAGTCACCAACTAGGCAGTGAGGATACATATTGATCAAAACACAATCTGCCATTAGGCTCCAGGACTGGCAGATATAACAGCTGGCAGACAGTCAGACCTGGGGATGCGGAGGCCTGTAGCAAAGGTAAACACCGGTGTTGGGAGAATCAAGGGAAGGGACATTTAACCCAGCCATATCCATGACTGAAAAGTCAAAGAACTCAAATAAAGAGGGGATAGTGGGATGCTCTTGTCATGCTGTAGCCTCTTGTTCCCACAGGGAAGCATAGCAGCATGGTGACATTGGTCTATGAATCTGCATTCTGTGTGACCAATGGAGCAGATGGTGTAGGGAATTTTAAATGCTTTGTGAGCAAAAAGCTGGGTCTTATTTGTCTCTGTATTCCCATTTCCTGAGGTATAATAGGCAATATGTATGTTTTATTGAGTTAATTTCTCCAGCTAAAGTATTGCCTCCTCTGTTACAGGGTCCACTAATACTCCCTGAGAACATCCTTGTCTTGAATGCTCTTATTGTATTTTTCAGTGGGGATATAGATGGCCATATGTTATATATTAAATCACCAGCCCCAAGTTACTTTGACCTGTGGCCAACAATACAGGCTTCACAAATCAGCCATCCCTCCATAGTTCCTTCCAAGAAAACCCTGCATGTAAAACTAGAGAGATGCCATAATGGTTAAAAGTATTGGATACTCTTGTAGGAGACCCAGGTTTGATTCCCAGAACTAACACAGTGGTTCACAAACATTTATAATTTCCAGTCTTAGGGGATCTGATGCCCTCTTATGCACATACATTTATGCAGACCAAATACCAATCCACATGAAACAAATAAATAAGTATAAAATTTTTGCGTCAAAGGAGCAATCTAGCACAGATAAAGGATACTGATCCCTCTCCCCAGCCTAGAGAAGGAACCTGGTCAACTCTTCAAAGCTGCTCAGAGTTAACATGACTAGTTTAAAAGTGGACATCAGTCCTGATTCTGGGGGAAAAAACCTGAGGGGAAGTCTGCTAGAAGATTTTAAAAATTATTTTATGTAGAAAAAAACCGTTTTGGATGTTGTTGTATGGAGTCATTCTTGAGTCCTAGGTGACATTGTTAAGCCACCCAGTGGACTTTCAGATAAGAAATAGAACAAATACCCTCACTTATAAAAAGTCTCTTAAGGCTGGAGAGTATGCTGCTGAATTAATATGACCTTTAAAGAAAAAAAGTATACCTCTATATAGCCTTCTCCCAAGCCTAGTGGTCTTAATACAAAAGAAATTGATTTTATAGACATGCTATAGGTCCATCCAGAGAACCCTGATATGACAAAGAAACAAAGAAGACAGTTCCTTACTACAGATGTTAAGCTCACTACTTTCTCACTCAATGCTAAACCAGAATACATCAGCGTTGTTTTTCTTTAAGTAAAAATTATGGCTATCGGTGGAGGGAAAAGTGCCCCTCAAAGTCTCAACTGGCATTAATTTATGCATTGCTATATTTACCGATAAATATTTTACACTATTTAGAAGAAGAGCACAAGCCGTTATCTCACCCACAGTAATAATAAATGAGCAATTAAAGAAGGCAGGATGTGATGTGCCTCGATTTTCCTTTAATGATTCCTTTTAAATGAATCACTGAGTAATCCCCTGTCAGTTAAGACTTTCCAATAAAAAATGGATCTGCCAAGCTTTCAGGGAGAGACAAACAGTTGGAAGAACAAACAGTGTCTTTCAGGGACTGCAGTTTTGAATTAAAATTTCCTCATAGACTGTTTTGAATGTGTTGCTTCCTTGCCTTCAGATTATCTATATCTCCCTCCTACCTTCCTACTCCTGCCTCAGCGCTACGGTATGAAAATAAGATCCTTTAAATCACTGCCATGAAGGCACATTTTCAGCCCTCTCCCCCACCCCAGGGCAGAAACATGTCGACTACATAGAGTCAGTGAGTGTGCACCAGAGCACATGGGTACCCGTCCTGTCGGGGATTTGTACATCCTGATGCCACTGACTGAGCATCATTTGTCCTCAACTTCCAAACATGCTCTGCTTTCCAGCTCCAGTTTCCCTTTCTGCATAATTTTCGCAGCTATCTGCCTTCTCAGCACCCATTATCCACAACTGCCAAATGTCTGAACACACCGGGTACTGCACAAGTCCTGGGGATCAGCAGATGTTGCTATTCACAGAGGTTATGGTATAACTGGTAACCTCTGGAGTGAGGCAGGGCTTGGTCTCACAGGAAACAAACGTTATTTTCTGTACATTCAGTTTTTTAACACTTTATACATACCCTCCCTCAGACAAAGCTTGCTTGTACCTGGTTATTTTCTTACCTCCCGTTCTGGTTATGTATGATGGGGTAACAAACTACTTTAAAACCCAATGGCTTCAAATAGCAGTCTCTTATCTTTTGATCTGGGGTATAGGGGACTGGGACAGGATATGGTTGTGAGTTTCTTCTGCCTTCTTTGCTGACAACTGGGGTCAGGAAGAAGTATCATGCTGACAGATGTGCTGATCAGATGTCTTGAACTGTGACAAGGAGGTCTGGAGAGCTGGCTCACCTGGGACTATTGACCACATATGTTCTTTTTAGCAGGAGAATCTTAAGTATCTTGAATGTCTGACATGGCAACTGATTTCCCCCAGGGATAGCATTCAGAGAGAATCAGCTTGAAGTCTCAGGCTTCTTTTGACATTGTCTCAGAAACCAAATGTGTCACATCTACTATATTCTACCAGTTAATTGGGCTATGATGCTGACCCATGTTAATTTGGATGGTCCTAGACCATCCTCAAGCAGAAGATTAGAACATTTCTCAGCCACTTTCAATTGTCCACACTTCATCTGAGCTGTGAATTCCTCTAGACTAAGAATTATGAATTACTCCCTTTGGCATGAGATAGAAGGGATGAGATTGAAT